ATACTTAATAGCCATTTGTACTGCGTCTTTTCAACGTTAGCAAACCATATGTTTACCAAAATCACTCAGTTTCTTTATCATGAAACAGCCTTGTTTGCGCAAATACACTTTAAACAGTAGAAACGTGTTTACMCTCGCAAAGTGATCAGTTTGTCAACTTCTAAATCGCAAACAATGAAAACACAAAAGATTTTTTACTCTATTAATAAAATTTAGATCAATAGTTAATCTCTATTTTGTAATTAATATCGTAGTTAACAATCAAACGCCATGTTTTAAGTCTCTTGGGAGTTTTCCAAAAATGTAATTAGCTGAAGTCGGACAAYGATAAAGGTTAAGCAAAGAAAAGTTGCCATGGACACGTAAGACACACAAGATTTGTTTTCATCTAAAACATAGTGATTACAAGTAAAAAAATTCGATGATGACAAGAATTCAGCTTAAATCCTTGGACAAGCTGGTAGTCGGTTTTTCTTGGGGGCTCCTAGTTTATACTGAAATGTCGTGCGTTGGGATCCCTGTGTCAACCCAAATAGCTTTTTCCCAATTTCACTAAATCTTCTAATATTAGATATTATCATTAGTTCATTTATCGTACCAGGATTAATCTCTTTTAAAATTGAGGTAGTATGAAATGATAWAACGAATCGAATTAAAAAGAGAATTTAAAAAGTAGCATTTAATAATTATCCCTGATTATGTTTGAAAAATTCATAAAAATGAATAAATAGTAAATCTGTTGCGAAAAAAAAGGAAAAACAGTTATAAAAGAGAGTTTGGAATACATTTTGTATGAAAAAAAAGTTAACAGTGGTTCCTCTGGGGCTCGAACCCAGGACCTTCTGCGTGTAAAGCAGACGTGATAACCACTACACTAAGGAACCAGCTGATGACTGTACAAGGGAACAATAAGTATATATTGACTATAATGGCTTTTCATTCATATGAAAAGTAATTTCTAATAATTGGGGTTGAAAGAGCTTGTTTTATGCCATTTTCATAAATGCTTTGTTTTTTTAAAAGTTTACTTTAGTCTYTTAATTGACATTGAAGCAAAAGATAAGAAATTTGTAAAGTTCCAGTATCACTCTTAACTTTSGTGGCCGTTCATTAGATTAAAAGAAAAATTAAAAGAAAATAACAATAAATAAGCAGTGTAGCTCACCTCTTATCATCTCCATGCTTAAGTTTGTCATTTAATATCCTAATTACGAGCCCGTTACGAGGCGCTCGCGTCGAGAGAGGCGGCGCATCGGTTAAAACTTCAACACAGCCACAGAGGATCCCATGAGGAACTTCTATCTCGTTATCTCCATTTAAAGTACTAATATTGCCACTGAGATAAATCCTATGCATTTCAAAGTGAATATATTAAGTGAAGTGGTTTTCAAACTGGAGCAAAATGGCGGGAATGGCGCGCGTTGAYAAACAGGAAGCCCAAATAATCCGCTGTCTAACTACATCATAGGCTCAATTTATTTATAAGGGCGGACACGAATGGTAGATTTGCACAACTTCTGTTCSAAGGTTTTATAGCCTTGACGATGGGTTTTCTTTGCAACAAACTAGTGAGAGAGATTCAAGTCCCAACGGGCAAAATATGTTGCTTCGACTACAGCGATAAACTGAACTTGATAGCATCGTTTGGCGAGGAGGATTTGCAAGCAACCATATGGGACCCGGACACAGGTAAAATCGTCAACCGAATCACGATGAGACACAGCCTGAGGTTGGAATACCACGACATCTTGTTCCTGCCTGAACGATGCGTTGGTGTATGTGGAATGGTTAGTGATACCGAGCATGGTGTAGCCATATACTCCATAGATTCTGGTCAACGCGTTTTGAATGTGGTGACAGGGACCGTCACAGGCCATGAGATTGACGACGAGTTTTGTTGTACTGCAGTACTTACATATCACAATAAACTTGTTACTGGAAGCGGCTTTGAGTTTGAAATAGACTTCAAAACACGAGAGATCTTAAGCAAAAGAGTTATATTTTCGTCGGGAGATGGAGTGGTATTTCATATGTGCTGTTCAAACAGAGAGAAAAGCGGCTACAAAGTCTATTATTCATTAGAGAGATCAGGCTCCCTTGAAATAACCTGCATAACAGTATTTGATGAAGCTAGAGATATGAATGTACGTCCAGACATGACAAATTCATACAAAATAYCATGTACGGATTATACTCTCAGTCTGGACCATGATGGTGAAAATCTCATTTATGCAAACGACCAATATATATTGGCACTTGAAGAACCACATGGTCAATCAAAAGAMCTTGTTACTAACTGGATACCAGAGACAGGAATGATCCAACATGGTAGACACTGGCTTCCTGACTTTGGTTACATGGATCAAAGCACTGTAAAGTGTAACAAGAAATGTGAACTGATGGTGTCTCCTGGTAACGATGTGATTAAAGTGTATAAATACAAAGTAGCGTTGAATCTCTTGGAATTATGCCGTCAATGTATAAACAATATATTGAACGATAGGATTGACAACRTAGAAAGTTTGCCAATTTCTAATGTGATGAAAAAGTACCTTTTATATGAGACTTAAATATCAAAAAAATTCAAGTCTTTCTTATTGTTGTTACCATAGTCATTAAATATTTGTACTGTTTTAATCTTTTTATTACCAATAAATAAAATATTCATACAAATATCACATCTGATATACAAGTGTTCCTGCATATACATATCTGTTATTGACTCCACGCAAAGTCTTCAATGGACTTGAGCATTAGTTTTCAAATRTACAAAAAAAATCCCCAAAACAGTATCGAAGTAATAAATTCAGAAACATAAAACAGTGCACRTATCTCTGTCCTCTGATATAAATACGGTCATCAGCCAATCAGAGTGCRCTAGAACTTTTTTACTTCTTACATAGTATATGGATTACCATCTGGGGTGAAACTACCGCTCATTTAATACATTGAAGGCTACCACTCACCCCATAGCCACTTCGAATATCCAAAAAAAGGCTAATTGAGTCAGACCTTTTTATCCAACTTTATTTTTATTATTATTATTATTTTTTTTTTTTTTAAGAAAGGATTATATTTGCCGTGTTTCAGTTACGGGCCGTTACGGGTAGGTTTGGGCTTCCTGTCTTGTTGTTTCCGCTGTTTAGCCGAATCGCAGTCTCATGAAGGAAAGGGTGTTGTTTTGAGAGAAAAACATGGCGAACTTTGTGGACGGTAATAATGTTGTCAGAGAARTCAAAGCTCCTGTAAAAATTGATTGCTTTGATTATGACAGTGAACTCAACTTGATTGTTGCCCTGCATCTATATGAAAATTATGCGTCTATTTGGAATAGAGATACGGGAGAAATTGTTCAACAAATTAGCATGGACGGATATGAATTTTCCCACGATATCTTGTTCCTTCCTGAGGGCTGCATTGGCGTTGTTCACGGATCATTTGAACAGGAAAATCATGGTGTTGCTGTTTTCTCTATTGATTCGGGTGAACATGTTTTCGATGTATTAGCTCATCATAATCTTTCAGACGAAAAGKTTTCTCGAAAATGTGAGGCYGCTGCTCGAACTCACCATAACAAACTCATCACTGGGAATGGTTTAGAATATACGATTGATTTTAAAAAGAAGCAAATTCTAAAAAAGAGGGTTGTCTATGAATGTGAAGAACAAAAAGAAGTTACTACAATGTGTTGCGCAAAAAATTCATACACAATTTACTACAATGCTGCTTGCACTAGTGGCATTACTTGTGTTGAGGTACTGGAATCAGACCAAGACGAGAACACACGGTCAGGGATCGAAAGTGTTCGAGCTGTTACAAACAAATACACTATAGAACACTGTGACAACATTCGAAATAACCGTATCTATGCGATAAGTATCCAACATGATGGCGAACATATAATTATAGAAKTACAGGGTGAAATTTATGCAATGAAAGCAGATAGTGAAGGCAATTATAAAGCTTACTGTATCAATAGAGAATACTGGACATCYTGTGATTACTACTGTTGCGAAGGCAGCACAATAAAGCTAGCTGGYCAAGGCCAGTTAATGTTGTGTTACGGTGAAGGTGATGATGTAATCAAATTATTTGAGTACAAAATGCCAACTACTTTGTTAGGATTRTGCCGTCTCTGCATTAACAACACACTGAATAACAATGCTGATAAAGTCAAGTGTTTGCCAGTGTCCAGTGTTATGAAGAATTATCTTTTATATAAGGCTAGGGTATCTMGTTAAGTTATCTTTTTGGACGCTGAAAGTGATCCATTCTCAG